ATACGATCCACTCCATTAAAATTGATTTCTTGCACGCATAGCTGAGGTATCCAGTCTTGAAGTTGATAATATTTCAATGCAGAAACTTGCTAATGTTCCCCAATGACGTCATCGCGTGACTACGCCCACAACCGGAAGTGATTTTGACAAAATGGCTGCAAGGCAAGAAATTGCAACTTTTGACCCAAGATTTAGTATGGAAACAGTACTTTTTGATAATTTTACTTATTTTTCCTATGATTTTTTCTTTATTACCAACTTATTTCTGCAAAAAAAATTTTTGGGTTGAGTTACCCTTTAAGAGAGAAATAGCTGAGCTACAAGAACAGATATCAGTAATGAGTGTACATATACTAAATAAAAGAGAAGAGAATGAAGAATTGATGCAGGAAATAAAAGGTACAATTTATTAATAATTTATTAGTAATGTACAGTGTCACTGATAGATTATAAAAGAGATACATTGAAACTGGACCAGGAAATATGCAGTGAACAGACACTAGATAAAAGAGGAGAGGATCAACAGGTTATTCATCAAGAGATAAAGGAACAGTTGGATAGACTAAAGATAAAAGTGGAATCGCAGCAGACTCACACTCAAGAAGTACTAGCAACATCAGTCAATCATACAAATCAGCTACAAAGTATAGTTCACTATTTTAATTACTAAAGTGAAACTAAATTTAGTTATTGATCTTGCTGAGGTACTTCAATTACTCAGAAGACATGGTTACTTAGGAGACAGTTACTATGATCTTGGTCTCTTTCTTGGTCTATCCTTTACTACACTGGATGTTATTACAAGAAATAATAAAGGAGATGTTGAGAGTTGTTTACGTGAGTGTCTTACTAAATGGTTACAGAAAGCTGATAAGGTACAGGAGACTAAAGGTGGTCCTAGTATCTATTCATTGGTATCAGCATTGAGGGGATTAGGAGAGAATGGAGTAGCTGATGGAATAGATATGGAGAGTAAGTTTAATATTACTATTTATTTATTTATTTATTGTTTAGAACATCCTGCTTGTAGAATCCTTGCTCGTTATACCTCAAACCAATCTCTACTGTCTACATTACCTCAGTTGGTTATTGTTTTATATCAAGCAAGTCTGATAAAAGAGATGACCATCCCTGTAACTAGACAAGGAAAGTATCTGTTGATTCAAATAAAGGAAGCTGTTTGCAAGGAATACTTCAAACTTGCACCATTTGCTGAAATTTTGTGCAAAGTAAAAGTCACTGCTAAAATAGGAAATACTATCATGAAAGAATACAGTGAGTATATTGGAGCATAAACATGTAAATAATAGTTTTATAGAAGCTTATTGCAGTGGTGACTTCATTCAAGCAAATTATACCAAAGGTAAAATTAGCTTTCATGATATCATTATATTACTCTAAGCAGGACTGAAGATTTATCTTCCGATGAACGTTACTTCAGAGTTTAAGACGATGCGATTAAAGTTTGGCCAGACATTCTTCAAAGTGGGATCAATCATGATGAGCGACCCTCAATCTCCATTCATTGATAATATCAAATCTGTATTGCGTACATACGACAAAACATTAAGACCTCAAGTGGCTCAGTGTCAAGATATTCGTGACATTTTAGCATTAGTTGGTCATAATAGCCCACTTGATGATATTAGTGTGCTGGAGTATTTTGTTGATAAATTCAATATAGAGGAGGCTAAGCCAGTTATTAAGAAATATAAAGAAGATTTTGAGGAGTTTAAGAAAACAAAACTCAGTTACTGTCTGAATGAAATGATTTCGTATGCTTCGCCACTTGAGTGTGAAAGGATTACCATTATTGTTGATAAAGCTGCTCATGAATACACACTTAAGGATGTAAAGGAACTGTCATCAGCTGTACTTGAGAATTTATCACCACAAGTCAAGTTAGCTGTCATTAGAGATGGCAATTAGAACTAAAACCTAGCAACATGCCATTGATTTGCCCTGTTCACTGTTTTCTGTGAATTATTTTGCTACATGTAATTATTCTGAATAATAATAATTATTAAAATGATGATAATGAAGGGAATGGGTTTTGTTTGCTGACAACCAGTTTCTGATGACTGTGCGATATGTAACCTTTTATTTTACCCTAAAAATAAAAAACAGAAAAACAATTATAGTCCATTCTTCTATCTCTCTCTCTCTCCACCTTATCAATAAGGTTGGCCATAATACATTCAACTTCATCAGCATCAATCTCATCCTCCTATACAATACACAATACACAATAATAATAGCCATAACAAAAATTAATTAGAATCGGCTCATAACTTATATACAAAAGATACATAAAGGTATACAATATCAAGAATAACTGGGAGTTTCTTATCATCTGTATCATACTATACAGCTGGAAATACTGGCAGGAGTTAAATTTGATGAATCATTAAAAATTTGTGATTTTATGACTTATTAAGGCTGGTTTACATTATGACATTAGGCCAGTCTATTGTCAATTTCTAATCAAAACATGCTTTCTGCTAAAATAATCCCATTCCTATTACAGTGTCAATGTAATGCCAAGCCTATTGTAATACTGTAAACCAGCCTTTAGCAGCTACAGTGTACATGTGTCATTAAAGAATGAACAGATTGCGCATTGGTGGATGTTCACTGATACCACCAATCTGACAATCAATTCCCTCCAACTGTACAGTACTCTAAAATCTGCTTGTATTTAAAATGCTCATAAATAATATTATTTGTGACTGTAAACATTTCAAAATTTTTACACAGCAATTTCATGTCTTTCTTCTAAAGACATGAATGTACATGCACCAACTATGAGATAGAAAGTCACAGGAATAATTTAATTGATATTAAACTAACTTTATTTAATTTCAATGAATCCTCAAAAGCTTTTAATTCTAACTGATGAATCCTGCCAAGCAATATCCAACTACAAATAATAATGATAATAAACTTATAATTAATAGAAATAAATAAATAAATAATTTACACTTTCTTAAAGAGGTTTCTCAAAGCAACAGTCCTTAGTTTTTCCAATATTAGATAAATACCAGCCTTAATGAAGAAACCCTAATAGTTATTAATAGTTACTGGTAGTTATTAATAGTTAAATTAATAGTTATTAATACCTCATGCTCCTCCAAAGCTTTCGCAAACATATAAAGATTACCAGTACTGAATAAAGAGAGAGAGAGAGAGAGAAATAGAATATAAAATAATATCACCAAAATAATCGCCAAAACTGAGTCAGAATCAGCTCAAACTTTCTACACAGCATAAGTACATCAATATGTATCAGAAAGTGTAATAAAAATTGGGGGTGATTTCGGAGCCATTTTTCAGAAAAAACCATGGGCTATAGCCTTGGATATATTTCAGAATTTCAGCATTTTCTTAAAATGGTCGTAACTTAAAAAATTGAAGTCAGAATAAGCTTAAACTTTCTACACAGCATAAGTACATCAATTTGTATCAGAAAATGTAATAAAAACTTTGGTATATAAGCAATAAATATTTTAGACCATAAAACTGCTAACATTCTCCCTAAATTACATGTATATGCACATACATACATACAGTACACACACACTCTCTCCCTCACCTCACAGTTAGTGCTACATCATAAAAAGGTAATAAATTATATTCATCCAATAATTCTTTTCTTGGCATTTGACCCTATTAATCAATCAATTAATCAATTACTTACTTAATTAATAAAACTATTAATTAACTCACAAACATCATCTTTAATGGTATTAGATAAGTAAGAATCAGCCTATTAATTAATAATAAAATTAATTAATAATAGTTACATGTACTTACTTCTTATTATGATGACAAGATTTATGACAATGAGAGAAGGCAAACTGAAGTGCCTCAGAAGCTAATGGAGAGAGAGAAAGAGGGAGAGACTGTACATGTATAATTGAAAAAGTTGATGGTAAATAAAAGTTAGCAGTTTTGGCATTTGAAGCAAAATTCCTAAAATTAAAAACTGTCGATAATTTAACATCAGTCAATCCTGTCTATTCCGGACACCTTGGGACCCACTAATACTCTAGCTCCTGATTATGAACCTGTCCTTATTTCAGAGGTTCATTACTATTGTATTGGGACTGATACTACCTGTCCTCATTATAGAGGTGTCCTTATTTTAGAGTGTCCACAATAGGAGGAGGCTATACTGTACATGTACATGGGGAACTCTGAACTGTGCTGGCTTATGTATACACTGTACAATGTAAATGCTATACCAATGGTGTAACAATGAGCATGAATAGGGGGAGGGAGCCTAATGTGGGGGGAAATCCCAGTGCTCCCCCCTATGTATGAGGTACACTGTACTTGTATATACAATGTAATTGTATCTATATAAACTGGGGGTTCCTTTGATGTGGTGTGTTTATGAGTACAACCCACGATAGCCTGGTCAAATATAGTCAGTATATAAGGTAGTATTAAGCTACTGTTCAACAATGTTGGATCACAAATCTCCAAAAAATTTTTGGAGGGACAGTGTACTTCAGTACTTGTCCCTTCCACTCAATCTTTGTTTTAGTATTTTTATACTGCTGGGTGATACTTGAAATTTTAAAATGGCATAATAAATTGATACCATATAGCAGGTTTATGTCGAGGATAATAATTTTCCCGAATGGCCTGTATCTGGAGGTTCACGGAATTAGTTTTTGCAAATTGCCACTTTTCTGCCATCTTGTACTGTATTAAATTGATTTTCAAGGAATTTAATTTTGTGAATCTAAAAAAATCGGCGAAATTTGTTATCCTTGAAATAAACCCGCTGTATGAAGATATTGATAGGTTATCAAGCCACACCTATTAATTTTAATATTACTAAAACGGCTAAATGAAGCTATTTCTGAAAACAATTTAATAAAAAGCATTATATAAACAACAAGAATAAAAATAAAAGAAAAGTTTAGTAATATTTTCGAGATATTACTGCTACCAAGAGTAGATCATTTGTGGTTACTTTGATCTTTTGAGCAGCTTGTTGCAAAAATAGAACTCATTTCTATTTTTAGCAACACCTTGATTACAAGTTCAAAGTAACCATAAATGTTGTTAGTTACATGTTGCCTGTTGTATGGAGGGCTTAAAGAACATTATAATAACAGATCAATTAGAGTCAGCAAAAACCAAATCTAATCATTGCTAATACTAAATCTGTTTCTTAGACTACGTTTACACAGCAACGCAAAACGTATCGTTTTTAAAGTATCCACTTTGAACACTGTTTTTGTTTCCATAGAGTTCTATCAAGATTCTATCATGTTTTCATTCCTTTCTGTGTAAACAGAAGCATAAACAGGCACAGATTGCATCGTTTTCGTTGCTGTGTAAACGTGGCCTAAATAAAAAATGACTACATTTTTGTGCCACCAACTTTTTCAAATACACATAAGTATTAATCAATGACTCCATTACTATATACAGTACTTACCTGCTCTATATTCACTATCAAACATTGCTTTCCGCCCAACAAAATATCTAAAAAATAACACATAAATTAATAAAACTGTAGGGCTCTCTTTTTTCGAGGGCTATAAATTTCGAGTTCCCTTTAAGTAAATTTTACACATCATGACTTCCTGTCATCCTTATTAGCTAATAAATACAATTGATCCCTGAGCTACATGATTTGACGAAGGACCAGCAGAGTTAAAAAAAACAAAAAACATCAAGTCTACCATCTGAAAATAGTTTTAAAATGAGTCCTAAAACTCCATCTTTACTTTAAAAATGCCCACATGTAACATGAAGATTTTTTCGACATGCCCCCTCGTAATTATAATCTATTATCCGAGGTCAAAATATTCGAATTTTCAGGAAAAATTAATTAAATTCACGTAATATATAGCCCTTGAAAAAAGAGCACCCTACGGTAAGACTTTAACTTCTCTCTTATCTACTTACTTGTATGTTACCCTGTGACTGATACTGAACTCATCTCTGATATCAGAACTATCTATTGCTCTTATTAGAGGTTTACACAATGGGAGCTTATTGAGCTATTAATAGTAACAGTGGAGTCTAAAAATAGTAACACCGTAAGGACTGACCTTAAAATAAATTTTAAATAATTGATTAACAATTCCAAGAGTACCCCATCTCTTAGTATTATCAAGTGAAGTACGACTATTAATAATAAATAAATAAATAAATAAATAAACAAATAAATAATAAATAAACAAATAAATAAATAAATAATAAATAAATAAATAAATAAATAAATAAATAATTGTTATTGTTACCTGTCTGAGACACAGACACGAAAACAGCTCATGATTTGTTCAGCAGCTCTTTCCAATATCTCACCTTCCTTCTTTCCCTTGACAACACCAACTCGCTCCTTAGCAACAGACTCTGCCTACCAATTAATGTATAAGGTTAGAGTTATTACTATTGTGTTTTTACTTTTAAAGCAATTCTTCTTAAATCAAGAACAACTTGTTGAAGAACTGGTAAACCCCTAATAACAATAATAATAATAATAATAATAATAATAATAATAATAATAATAATAACAACAACAACAAAAACAACAACGATAATAATAATAATGATAATAATAATAATAATAATAATAATAATAATAATGATAATAACAACATTAATAGTAAAAATGTACCAATTTTCTTCTTTCTGTGCCTGGAATCCTTTACAAAATGATCTTACAAAAATTAAGGAAAAAAACAAGTTATTTTAAACAAACATAACAACATACATGTAATACACACAGTACACTATGTACTGCAATACATATTCAATTACATGTACCCATACATACACATAACTATCATTTATACTTGATATATAGTTACATGTACATTATATGTACTTTATGATGGATACTGTACTACTAATGTTTGACAAGCAAATGCTTCATCAAAATGTCCATTAGTTAATGAATGAACACACCTAATTAATAATAATAATAATAAATATTAATTAATTAATTATACCTTATGTGAGCTGCTAACATTTCATCATAAGGAGAGTCTAAAATAACCTGACATGCTGACTCAGCATCTCCCTATTATTCAATTAATTAATAATACATTAATAAACATGTATTACATTACTTACATTAAATACATGAGAGTCTTTTAAAGCTACCAGCTCCTATGAGAGAGAAAATGAAAGAAAGGATGGGAGGAGAGAGATGAGAACAATAAAGTATAAATATACTACTAACTGATAATAGTTCACCATCACATTCTTTAATAGACCTATCAACCTGGTTAATGAATATATACACAAAATAGAAATTAAAGAACATTACATGCATCAGGAATTGATCCAAAGCTGCCATATTGAGGGTTAAATATGACTCCCTAAACTGAGCCCCTCCCTTTTTATTTGCATTACAACCAACTGGTGGTATCTTCTCAACTGACATCCTTTCTTCTATAGTTAGGCTAATCTGCTATGGCATCTAAAAATCCTCTCTACTCTTATCAGTGGACACCTGGTCAGTAATATTCTTTCACTATTTGTACAATACGTTTTATTTTGTATTAATAGATGAAGTGTCAAATGTTGTTTGTCTTTTGGAAGTATGTGGTTTCCCTCAGGAGAGATGGCACGAGCTTGGACTGACACTAGGATTACACAAGGACACACTCGACGACATTAAAAAACTCTATGACACAACAGATGATTGTTTAACTGAATGCCTCTTCAAGTGGTTGTCCAGAGCTGATGAGGAGGAGCTCAGTACTTTTGGCTCACTGCTAGATGCTCTTAAATCTATGAATGAGAATGCTGCACCTGAAAAGTTAAAAGAAGAATGTAAGTTAATCTAATAAAATGTTCCTTACCTGAAAAATGTCATTTCACCAATCCAATTGGTCACAAATGTTTACATGTACAGTATATATAGCTAATAGGTTACTTTATGATAAGTTATTTTATCCAACAGTAATAATGAATACCTATCTGCAATACTGAACCTTGTACTGAACCTTGAACTGAACTGAACCTTAAATGATAGGAAATTTGATTTGTGTAGTTACATAGTGGGCCCCAAAAAAGTAAAAAATGTCAATGTCACAAGTCCAATGTCACTTGCATTTTTACAAATATAGTGCTTATCCACTAGTAATACTAGTGTATCTCTGCTACTGTATAGTGAGAAATTTTCACGGATTTGTCTAAATATTAATTTTGTGATTTTTCATGGTTTCTACTTTTCAGCCATCTTGAACCGTATTAAATTAATTTTTGCGGATTTTATTTTCTTGAATTTTGAAAAAAAATGCAAAATCCATACAAATTTTGGGCCACAAAAATTTCCCACTATATGGTATCACACACTGTGTCAGTTGCAACAAAGGTCTCACCCTTGTAGTATTAATGCCAGGCCATCATTAGCTATCCTAGAGTTCAATAATAGAATTCACGGCTAATGAACCAATTAAAGCTTGACAGGAATTATTTGTTGCATTCAAGTGTAATAGGCCCCAGCATATAATGTGCATAAAATCCGGCAATCATTCAATATATTATGACCTTTCTTTTTTACATTCTTTGTGCCAGCACTTTGGTTGTTAAAACACTATAGTGGGGGCATAGCGGAGACAGGCTGTGCACTAAACTCTCTCCCTGATGCACCAGAAGAGGGTCTTGATCCAATGACTGTTACTACTGAAGTTTTAAACATTGCTGAAAAGATGAAGAAAGATGAGGAACAGAAGATCAAGACTAACTTCACTACCTTCACTCCTTTGTGCTATATAAAGAAAGGAGAAACTGATTATTGTATAAGAGTAAGTTACATCATTTATGCAGTATAATAGCTATAGTACATGCAGTCCTTTACCATGGAGTGATTTATTCATGTACTGAGAGAGTCAGCTTAATTTGAATTTCTGTTAAAAGAGGTTCTATTACATACATACTATTTTGTTAGGTTATGGTTGATAATGGTAAAATAGATATCTGTGGTCAATATTGTGCTGGTTCTGTCATGAGAGTTAAAGTAAAGCATGTTACTGAAGATGATGATCAGACATTCTTTTAACTTTACATTAAATCTGCCCAGTTTATTATTACAGCTGCTTCATTAATTATTATTTTAACAGTATTTTTGTATCACCAGTATATAGATCTGCTTTTTTATTTTTAATATTTTTATGAACATACTAAATTTTTAAGATACACTATTTTTAGTACAACTATAGTATGCAATGTGTGTAAAGACTATTATGTAGCTCATAA